ACCTGGCTCCGGGCGCTGCCAGCTTCCTAGGGAGGGAGGGAGAACCTGGCACAGCATCATCTCTCTCTCCCAAACCCTTGGTCTTCCCATGCCAGTGGGTTGATGCCCTTCCCCATCAGAAGCACATCTGGTGCCAGGAGAAGGGGTGGCGTTTGGGTCTCTCCGGTCGTCCGGCGGAGCAAGCGTGGCAGACCAGACTAGATGCCCTTTAGTGCCCTTTCTGTTTACAGATATGCTCCGGGAGCCTCAGACACTTTCCATCTTTGCACTTAAGGTGGAGATGATGAAGGAGGGTTGGGGAGGGGGGGAGAGGCGAATGCAAAAGGGGGAGGGGTTGATTCCCTAGAGATATTGTTTTCTGCGCATCTAACGTGCCTCTTGGGAGGGTACCCGTTTATGGTCCTTATGCCACTTGCTGGGGAGTAAGCCCCTTTGCAGGCAGTGAGGCGCCCCTTTGAGCCACTTGGCCGTCGCTTGCTGGGCACAAAGGCTTCGGTCAGTGTAATTGTAGGGGGCAGTCATTTGTTGAGGGTAAGGATTCTTCCTTAAAGAACCCCCCCTCCATTGCCCTAGGGAAGGGAAGACCCTGTTAAAGACTGCTAAGTGGCGTCAGGGTGGATGATGAAACATTGGTGTTGATCTGACCACTGTGTTTTCTGTACCTTTTTTCACTGGGTGAGCGCTGTTGTCTTGCTAAACAGGCTGTGGTCTAGGAGGGGACCTGAGCAAAAAGATGTGGCTTCTGCAGGAAGGCAGCTCCCGATTCCCAGTTACTACCCCAGAAATGGCGGCTGGGTAACTTCCAGCCTGAAACGCTCCTGACCTGCCTGCCTGCCTGCCTCCCTCCCTCCTCATCAGGTGACACCAGGGTGTGGGATCTGGCTTGCTTCCAAAGTGGAAGCTGCTCTGCCCTCAGCAGCAGCATCGGCTCCGTTCCGCACCACGGACACTTATGGTTAACCAACCAAGGCTATAAGGAAGGTTTGGATAGGAGGTCTGCCCTGCTCCAAGGGTGAGTTCTAGGAGCAGGAATGGATCTGAGGATTGGGGCCTCGTCCTGTTACCTGTGCAAGCCTCAGGGAGACAAGTTGGCATGGTGGGAGATCATCCTTTTTTACGCTTGCCTTCAAGATATTCCTTGAGGATAGGCTGGCACAGGAGAAAGTGGCCATAGATTAGGACAAGGGATTGGAAGGTCCTAATGGTGACAGGGAGGGGGTGGGGCTAGGCGATGTCAGGAAGGGAGGGGCCCAGGTGGGGTCTCCCACCCTCCTCTGACCCCTCAAGTTTGCCCACCTTGTTCGGCTGCCATGATCTTCTCTGTGGCCCTTCTGTGTCTCCCATCCTACCAAAGGGGGTTGGAGGGACATGGGACAGAGCTAGCCTGATAAAATTAATTTCAGAAAACAATTAAACTCCTTCAAATTCTCCAGCCACTGCCCCTGCCGGCTAGGAAGTTATACCCCCAAAAGTAATTTTTTTAAGCTCTGTGTGTGTGGCGGCACCAAAAAACATTGGTTCTTTTTTTTTTTTTAAGAAGAATTTTGAACTGGTTTTGTGCAAGACCAGGTACTTCTGCTTGTGCTTAAAGCAAGCAAGCTTTTCTCCTCTGTGCATGTTTACGTGTACGTAACAGTTTGATTCGAGACTACGGACGCTGAGACATGTTTATTTATTTGCGTGAGGTTTTTCTCCGTTTGATTTAAAGTTTTGCTGTAATGTTTTTGTGCTTATTTACTGCCCCAGGTGCCTGTAGGGCTGTTTATGAAGATTATTATCAACAGATACCTTAGCAAGCCATGTTCCAACTCAGTTAGCAGAAGGGAGAGAGAACTTTTCCCACCAACTTCTGCTCGGAATTTGGGAAATATTCTCCCCCACTCCAGACTGCCGCACCCACCAGCCCTTTGCCAGCTCTTCTCCCACCCTCAGTTTTTTGATTTATTTTTAAATTGAAATTTCTCAGTACAGACACAAAGGAAAAGATGTGCGTTTGGGAGCCGGTGTGCCTGTTGAGAAACGAGCCACCTCTTTTTAAAATCCCCACGAACTCTGCCTTGTGAACCAGGCGCCTGGGCGGGTGGGCTGCAAAACCTCCTTGGATGCCAGGATGGAACTGACAACTCATGCGGTGCCAAGATCATAACTGGTTCCACATCTGGCGTGTACAAAGGGCAGAGAGAGAGAGAGAGAGAGAGAGAGAGAGAGAGAGAGCCTCTCCCAACAAGCCTCTCGGCAAAACAGAGGTGAAATCCTGCCTGCAATTAATTCCAGCCACGCCCTGGATCCTCTGGGGAAGACAGATTTCCTCATCGGGATGCTAGGGGAGGCAGGCAGGAGAGGGTGAGGCCGGATCCTGTCACCCCAGTGTTGGGCAAGGAAAGGTTGCCCCCTTTCCCCTGCTCAGTGCCGGGTTGATAGCCAGAGGGCTCAAAGCATGGCCATTCTGCAGCCGTATTCTTTCACTGCCAAGGTAAGGCCGCCGGCATCTGGGCCCTGTCTGTCTTGCGACTCAGGTTGAGCAAGAACCTCAACCCCCCCAACCCTGTTCTGAAATTAGTGGCATGATATGGAATGCCCAAGGGGGCCTCTGAACATATACAGAGTGACTCTCCCTAGGTATAGCCACGTTCTTGGTATCAATGCCCAAGATATTCCAATCTCTGAATACAAATATCAGAGCCCGCCCAAGGTTCCCCATCGCCGCCAGGGGAACCTCTCCTGCTTTCCGTCTCTCCCTGGCAAAGGAAGGGCCTTCTGCACACTCTCAGAGGTTCTAAACTGTAACATGTAGAAGAAGAAGGTTTGGATGGAAAGGGAACCTCTTTGACTTCAGACCCCATCCACTCTTGCCAAGTGGCTGGGGAAGTGCACTCTGTAGATGCTCGGAAGCATCTTGGTGATGTATGTTCTGACAAGTCTGGTTCCGCGATGAGGATGCGGTTCAAGGTTAACCACTCACCTGTCTCGGGGCACAATTTCCACTTTGGGTGTGCGCAGGGCTGCCTTAAAAATCCCAGACAAGCCTGAACAGTTGGGGAATAAGAGTGATGCCTTAAAAAAAATACATAAAACAAATACCACTTTTATTTTCCTCTTTGTGAACACCCAAAGGCCCTTGACTGTTGGGTGCTGGCAACAAAATGCCAACAGGTTCTCCCTCCCCCCCCCCATGGACTCCTTTTGGAATCTGACTTGGCATGGATCTTAAATCTAGGTTTCATCACCAAAATACCCATCTTGATAAGATGGATGTTCTGAGGATGGGGCAACTTTCCTTCCTTCCTTCCTTCCTTCCTTCCTTCCTTCCTTCCTTCCTTCCTTCCTTCCTTCCTTCCTTCCTTCCTTCCTTCCTTCCTTCTTGTGCTTATATTGTATAGAGAAAATCTGAAGGGGTGTGGAATAAAAGCAACAAAGCAAAAAAATAAAAATAAAAAAATGACCCCCGCCCCAACATGATTGAAAAACAGAACAACAAAAAGTCTAAGAAGATACTAAAGCCAAAGATGGCCAAGTGTTCAGAAAAATATCCATATGCAGTTATGCTCCATAAACCACTCGCTCAAATGTTGACCATTTTTTGGTCTTCAGTTGACTGATTAAGAGAAGGCAAGCTTTCCTCTTTGCATTATTGCAGTTATCCATAGTTTAGCTATACAGTACTGTAGTTTCCCAATCGGGAAAGAAGATCCATTTCTATCGGCCGTGTGTTAATTTCTGAGAGAGGCGGATAACTGCAGCCATGATGCGCACCTGCAAAACTCAAAGATGGCTCCTGTAAAAAATTAATAAACCATTTTTCTCCTGCAAAGAAAGTAGAACTGAATTTAAAAAAAATCCTACGTGTGAGCCATATATCAGACATATATGACAGTGCCAGGAGTTTGTCAACCATTCTGTTGAAGGTGGCTGTGGAGATCAAGATACATGGCACTATTTTTAAATTAAATTTAAAAAAATTGGCTGAAGAAGCTACAATTTGATATCCATAGATATACAGTAATGGGTGTTGAGCCATAGTCTGGAGGTGGGGGGAAAAGCTCATGTTCTTTTATGGACCTCATTTTCATGCATCTGTTCGGTCCTTCCCAGGTACCTGAAGCAGCGGGAACCTTTGAGTTGCAGATCCGTTTGGTGCGCAATGAGAAAGGGGTGCTGGCTGACGGACGCTGCTGCCGTGGAGGGCTGGATCCACCGTGTCCTGCGGGAGAACAATGCCAGACGTTCTTCCGAGCCTGCCTGAAAGAATACCAGCTGCGGGCACTTCCGGGAGGGCCCTGTGTGCTGGGTGCGGCCACCACCCGAGTCCTCGGAGGCAACGTTTTCTCCACGGCTCACCGGAAGCCCCAAGATCGTGCTGATAGGATGGTGGTCCCTTTCGACTTTGCCTGGCCGGTAAGAGGGCTCACCCGTCGGCTGTCTCGGGCAAGGCTCAGCACCACCACCACCAGCATGTGGGAACCGGCCCAAAGAGAAGGTGGTTTGCTCTGTGCCAGGAAGTGGTCTTTGAGTCATGGGGACCCTATGAATTAAGGACCTCCAGAAAAGTCCTGCTCAGGTCTTACAGAATAAAGTCTGTACAGTAGTTTCCTGTCTTGGATCGATCCATCTCCTATTTCATGCACCACTGGATAGCTCAGTGGTCTGAGTCTCTGGTTTTGGAGCCAGAGGTTGGGAGTTCGATTCCCCCACTGGGCCTCCTGGACAGGGGCTGGACTGGATGACCCCAGGGTCTCCCTTCCAGCACTGCAGTTCTAAGATTATAATAATTATAAAGGCATACCTGTTAGTCCTGGGAATTCTGAAGCTCACACCAATAATATATATTTTTTTTCCTGCCCTCTATGGGTATTTGAGTTGGGGATGTGGTGCTGGGGTTGGAGAGAGGGTCTCTCCCGGACCAGCTGTTTCCTCCAATTCCAACCTAGATCATTTCATCACAGCGCTAATTAATTAAAATGAGAAACAAACACACACCTCCACCTCTTCCCTCTGTAAAGCAGATGCTCAAAAAATCAATAAATCACAACACAGCTGGTTTCTACGGGCGCTGTCTGGCTCGATTGATAGGTTGGGTGAGATGGAGCGTCTGCCCCGGCTCCCTCAAGGGAAAAGAGGCTACGGAGCATCCATCTGGCTCCTGCCATCTCCTGTCCCTTGCCTCCAGTCCCAAAGCACCTGGGTCTCGCTGTGGAAAGAGAATCCAGTTCTGATTGCAACATTGAAACCTTCCCATTTTGTCCCTTTCCCAACAGAGGATGGCAGCTTTTTTTTGTAGTGGAAAAGACAGGGATGCTAGGGAAAGCGAGAAGCAGAAGGAAAAGAGGAGGATGGGGATGGCAGTCCGTGAAAGTAACTTCCCCACTTCCTCCCTTTCGCCTCTTCCTTTCCAGTCCTGCTTGTTAAGGCCAGAAGGTAAAACCTGGACGAGATCTTAGCTTTTTCTATACATGGGAAAACCGAACGCCTTCTGTACACGTCCCCATGGCAGTCTTAGCCCACAGCAGGGCGCCTCTTTGGGGAGACCGTGACCGAGTCCTTTGAGTTTGCCCCATTTTTGCAGATGTCCAGTTGCTGCTTCCAAAATCGTGGGCCTCAAAGGCAAATCGAAAGCACCTCTCTGCCTTAACAGCTGCACAAAAAAGGGCTGCATTTCCACTTTTCCAAATTTTATTTTATTTTATTTATTTTAAAGTTTATTTAAACACAGCGGATTGATGACTCGAGATGCATTGTTCCCAGTGCATTCCTCTGGATGTGGCCTCCTTTTAGGGTGGGAAGTCCTCCATTTCCCCCCTCCGGCCACGGGAAAGGTCATGAGGCATGGATGCCCTTTGACCCTACAACGCCTTCTGCCAATGCCTGCTCCCTTCCCTCATCCCTTCTAAAGGCACCCTTGGTTCAAGCGAGTGGCCTTTTTCTGCACCTTTTCATAAAGCACAAGCTGCTTTCTCTTTGCTTGCCCTGATCCCACCTCTGGCCCCGGAGTGAATCTCTTCAGGATGCGGTTTTAGAGCTACTTGGATTCACGGAGCAGGGGCACATCATAGGTTTATCAGGAAAAAAAACCCAGAACCCACGTCAACATGCAGAGTTCATGGGCCTCAGATCGTGGCTTTCCTCCTGGCATGGCACCCCCAGATGCCTTCCCCGGCCTCATGGTGGCTGATGAACCCAGCTGCAGAGGGCACTTTGAATCCGCTCTGGGTTTTAGTCTGCACTTTTAGAAGCATGAAAGGCAAGGCACTGCAATCTCTTCCCCCAGTGAATTCAGTACTTCTGAAAAGTTCAGACAGAAACCCGGAATGGATTTGCAGAGTGGTTTGCCGAGTTGAAGAGATGCTTTTTAGAACAGAAAAACAGCCCTTAGGATGGTGATGTCTTGTGAGATTCTCTGCCTTTGGTAACTTCATCCTTTGGTCTCAAAAGGTTTGTTAATTACTGCATGTTACGCCACTGAGGAAGATCCTTTGATGGAGACGGGTTTGTTTACTTTGAGGTTGGCTGGCCTTGTTACTTCCAGCGTGATACATTCAAATGTTTTGAGACTTCAGCATTTTAGACACTCGTGTTGCGCTGCGTTGAGGCACGTGTTTATTGTTATGACTTTTATCTTATCTGCTTGTATTCATTTGTGTTGCGTTTTGGTTACTTTCTTTTCCTCCTGTTACCAGTTCTTGCAGCTTTTGAATTGAGGCATTTCCAGGTGTTTATGGGGTTAGGAGGGAAATGAAAACAGAAGGCCCCTTTCTTTATTCCATTCCATTTTGATGTGCGGTTTATTTTTTCCCAAATTTTAGTTTGGGTTGCAGTTCATTTCCTGTGTCGTGGTTACACCAGGGAAGAGCCAGGGTGCTGAAACGGGCATCTTTTGAACACCCGTTTCAATATCATGGCGGGGCGGCAGGGCAGCGACGGCTGATGACTCCAGCTTGGAAAAGCAGCCCCGGTAAAGAGTACCCCTGAGCTTGAGCAGAGTGCAGGATCCCAGGAAATCAAGGAACCAACGGCTTCGCCATGCCTCCTCTAAAAAAAGGAGCATTTTCCAAAATGGAGGGCCCAGCGGTCGGGATGGCGTCTCATAAGAGCTGTCTTTGATTTGTGAAAAGATGGCATCTGATGTTCACTTCCTGCCAGATGAGGTAACAGAGAGGAAAGAGGAGCGCTTAACGAAGGCCCTCTTCATTTCTCCCTCTTCCTGAGAATTTCCACAGCTGGGAGGGCAAGGAAAGCCAAGGGAGTCTCCCTTTCGCTCCCTGTCCTTTTGCCAATTCTTTGTGTTGTTGAGTCCCTCCCTACCTCCCAAGTAGTCAGTGATGGGGGGGGGGGAAGAGAACAAGGCAGAGATGTGAGATCAGGCGATAAATAACTTAATTAAAGTCTCTCCTGAATTGATGCAAAGTCACCTCCCCATCCGACTTTCCCTTTGCTCCCCAGAAGGCGTTTTGTTCCTTCTCCAGCTTTAGCCTGGACAATGAAGAAATTGAAATAGTTAAGAGATTTTTATCTGCCTTGGTCCAATCATCCATGCAGATGGAAGCTGAAGCCAAGAAATCAGAACACTTGAAAGGGCACCAAGGAAAGAACTAGGAAACGTCCTCCAGGGGAAGGATGGGTCCCTGGAAAACCAAAGACCGAGATCATCCACAACCTGATCAGTGTGTATTCGTGTGAAACGGAATAGCAAAGAAAGTGGACAGGGGGGGGGGAAGGGATTCTTCTCCGTTTGGTGCTGGAGAAGAGCTTTGTGGATACCCTGGAGAACCAGAAAGGGACCCCCAACTTCGGTTTCATTGGGCCTGATCCAACATCGGATCAAAACTGTTTCTGTGAGCGGGAGATGAGGAGGAAGGGAGCCCAAGACTATGTCTTGAGTGCCCCGCGGCTGAGGACATGGAAGGAGGTACATTTTCATCCAGAATCTGATTCCGAATCCCATCACCATCATGGATCCTTGAGTCCAGCCCCCGTCAAGGTGGCACGGAGGGGGAATCAAACCCCCAACCTCTGGCACGGCACGGAGGGGGAATCAAACCCCTAACCTCTGGCTCTGCAACCAGAGACCAATACCACTGTTCCTTAAATAATAAGAACAACAGAGCTGGAAGGGACCCTGTAGATCATCAAGTCCAACCTCTATCAAGGAGGTACCGGTGGGGAATCAAACCCCCGACCTCAGAGTCTCTGAGATCTATCCCCCTAGCCTTCATTGCTAGTGGAATTCTGGGCGCCGCCGTCCACAGCATAAAATGTTCACACTACAATGCTGCTCTAGCAGAGAGCAGGCTTGGCGTCAAAGAGCGTGTGTCTTACTGACTCACAGCGCTCTCATCCACAGCTTGGAAAAGTTCCTCTCTTTTTTTTGGAATTCCAGAATCAGAATCCCCCTGCCAGCATTACTCGTGTGTTTTTGCTCCCATCTTGCAGGTGGGGGCCAGCAGAAAATTAATTTTTGCTTGTGGTGGCTACGCAAGGAACACCGTTGTTTTTTTTTCACATGCAAAAAGGAGGTTGTGAAGATTGGAGCCGGCAGGGGCGAGGGGTAGGGAGAAGGTTCTGGTCTTCTCTTCCCCAGTTTTTTTCACTTCTTTGTGAATCTCAGTCTCTCTGTCTCTAAAAGGGGGAGATGGACTCAATGAAGGAAGACATGGGCGGGGGGCCCTTCTCTGTCGCTGCTCCCAGACTCTGGAACTCCCTCCTACTGGAGGCCAGACTTAGCCCCCGTCTTTGCTGAACTTTCCACAAGCAGGCAACGATCTTTCTCTTCAGGCAGGCATTCCCTCAGGGACCGGGGGGCTGGAGATGGGGTTTAAATTCATGATGGCCTTACTGCAATGAATGTGGTTTTGATGTTGCTTTGCTTTCTATTCTGGTATTTTTTTTTTGCACTCACTGTTGTTGCTTTAAAGACTGTCTTTTAATGACGTCAGCCCCATTGGGTCCTTTTTTTTTAAGGAGAAGGACGGGGTAAAAATATTTAAAATAAATAAATACAGCTGGTCTAGTCTTATACTTCCCACGTTTCCCGCCAGAGCTGCTAGAAAGTCAACTGACCTGAGGTTTCTTCTAATCTCACATCTTATCTCTTCTAGCGCTCCTACTCGCTGGTCCTGGAGGCGTGGGATGCTCCCAATGACACGGATGTCACCACTCCAGGTAAGGACCTGTTCTGCCCCTCACTGGAGCCGTGGCAGTGGAAGACGCACGAGACCGCGGTGCCGTGTGTGGTGTTGAGTGTATAAGAGTGGAAGTCAGTAACTGGGGGTCCTGGAGGCATAACTGCCAGCTTGCAACCCAGAGGCAACCGAAGGCCCGGTTTGTACCTATACAGCTGGATGGTTCACAAGGAGAGATGGGCGTGAAGTGGAAAATCAGTGGTTTGTGATGGTTCGTGGCTGTCCACAAATCACGACCTATCACAAACAGCCCTCGCCTCCCGGAAGACGGTTTCGAATTGATGGTGGAGGCAACCCTTGGAAATCTAGCAAGGGGGCAGATGCAGCCCTGTTTACCCTCCCCGGAAGCTAGATAATTCAGCAGGAAATCCATAAGAATGGATAGTTTTTTTGTTTTCACATGTTGCACTGGCTGGCAGCTGCTGCATCAACCTTCATGTGGACTAGCACCTTGTGTAGACTTCTTCGCCACTGTGGCCGAGCACGTCAGGAACCGTGGGCCGGCGTCTGCCTGCCTTTTTTGGAAACAAACGCAGTGACGTGACAGATCAGTCACCATCTTTGCACCGTCTGTTTTCAGGAGCCGGGCAGCTGATGGAGCAGGTGACGCGCTCGGGGATGCTGAACCCGGGCGAGGGGTGGCAGGATCTGTGGCACCATGGCCGTGGCACTTCCCTGGATTACCGGATCCGTGTCCGTTGCCAGGAGCACTATTACGGCCCAGCGTGCAACATCTTGTGCCGCCCCCGGGACGATTTTTTCGGACACCACGGCTGCGACACTGCCGGCAACAAGATCTGTCTGGACGGCTGGACGGGAGACGAGTGTACGAGGGGTATGTCCCAGCATGTGTGGGGTGAGAGGGGGCACAGTGAGGCTGGCGGAGGGGAGAAAAGGAAAAGAAGCCTGCAGCTCCGGGCTCCTGCAAGGCTCACCAGAATTTTTTGTTTTTTTCTGGATTTTAAACCTCAGATTCTGGTTTTCTTGGATTTTTGGGAGTTCAGCTCCAAAATAAGTAACTTTTGCAAACTCAGTTCCTTACTTATAGAACCCAGGAGTTTAGAAAGCTACTGGCCTTTAAAAAAATCACACCCAACACCATACCAAAGTAGGGAAAGGAGGCAGAGCCCTAATTTTTCTGCCGTAAACTTCCTGAAGTTTAGAAAGATACATCTTTGGACTTTGCCAGAATCTTCCAGCCAGCGTGGACGAAAGGGTTAGGGTTGAAGGAGACGTAGTCCAAAAAAGGAACCTATTCCAGACATTTGCCTGAGCCCGCCCTCCCCCACCAGTCCTTGTACCCAGAATGGGTTCCGTTCCTGGATGGCATCAATTCTTTATCTTTCGTAATAGAAACCATAGCAGAATTTCTTTTCTGTGAAGCCTTGGGCAGAGCCCTTTCCTTTTCTACTCCTCTGTAAATAATCCTAAATACATTTCACTGGAAGAAGTGACTGATATTTTCCCCAGCCCTTTAACCTTGTGTTTCCCCGGTTGCTTTCCCTGTGTTGAAAATTTTAGCAGGTAGCAGATCATTTACGGCCCTCTAGATGTTTATTGAACGGGTTACCCGTTGCATCTCGGATCAGGTTCAAGGTTTTTGACACTCACCTACAAAGCTCTCCACGGTTTTGGGCCGTGAGACTTGTGAACATCCAAGAGGCAACAGAAGACGCAGCCTTTCAGGGAGACTTTCCGCACCGCCTTGCCCCCCTCCGCGCCATTTCGTTGTTCAACGGTTTTAGCGCCATCTGATTTTATGGGTTCGTTATTATTTTGGTTTTAAATAGCTTTAGTTTTAGTGTATTTGGATTTGTTTATTCTTGTCAGGCACCTAGAGCTGCACGCACTGAATGGGGAACGGTATACAAATTTAAGTACTAAATAAATAACTACAACGCCCATCAGCCTTAACTGGCAAAGCTGAGGAGGCGGTATCATGGGAACTGCAGTCCCGAAACCTCTACCAGGACACACTCAGCCCACCCCAGATTTAGACCGTGACCCCTTTAGATTACTTAGGGTGGAAGTGCATTGACGGCTTCGCCGACAAGGTAGGAAGAGACAATATATTCAGCTCATCCGTCTCATGACTGGGCACAGAATCCAGGAGATCTCGCATCCCACCAGTTCTTCTAACCGCTAGGCCCTCCTCCCCTCCTCCTAGAGGTGCACCTGGGGATGGTGGTGGTGGCGGTCTTCTTCTTAATAGGTCTGTCTACAGCCCCAGCCAGGAGGTGAGGACGAGGGTTTCTACCAAAGGGCAATGGGATGTCTTAGCCGTAGAAGCTAAGCCCCAGCCTGCGCGGAAGTTGCAATGCACCCCTTTCTTGGTTCCTTCTAGCAATTTGCCTCCAGGGATGTCACGAAACCCATGGCTATTGCGAGGAACCTGGTGACTGCAGGTAAGTCACGCGAGGGGCTTGAAGAGGCTGGGCGGCAGGTTGTAGGATCTCTGCCCAGAACCCTCCGATCTTCATTAGCAAAGGTTTCCTTTTTTTGGCACTGGCGTCTTGTCGGAAACCCTTGGGGGGTTTCGGGTTTCTAGCCGTTTCCCAGTTAATGCCTGCTTTCCAGGCCCATCAGAGACACCGTTTGGGGAGCCGAGAGTAATAGCTCCTCTCGCCTGGGCTGGGTCATAAAATCGCCCCAGCAACCCTGCCAGGAAGCGTTGACTCTCAGCCAGGAAAATTAAGTCACCATCGGAACAGAGGATGGAGGCAGACGAGGTGTGGTGGGGAGTGAGGAAGCAGGGTTACGGGGCCATCCAGACCCTGGTGGAGGAGGTTTGGCATGGGTCAGGAACCTGCCCGGCCAGCCCAGGTGCTCCCAAAGTGAAAAGGAGACCCAGGAGGTTCTGGAGAGATAAACAAGATGACAGAACCCACATTAGGTCCCGCTCCCTATTCTGCCCTGTGGGCCTGGACTGGTGAGCTTGACAGAAGCACATAAATGGGTGGATGCTCAGGATTTCCTGGACTCGGTCACTAACAGAGCTGTTTCAATGTTGTATTTCTGTTGCGCTTGTATTTTAACGGGTCTTCCCTTTTAATTCTCCTTGGGAGGGCCAGTGGTGGGAGAACAGGGGAGGCCGAGGAGGTGCAGATTATTATAATAAAACAGGAAAAGACTCCAGAGCGGCATTGTGCGTTTCTGGATGACAACTAACCATGCCAGCTGGAATTTCCAGAATTGGTTGGTACTCTCCATCTGGGGATGATGACCGCTAACTTTTTTGCATTTGACACGGTTGTTTTCTGTTATGTTTGGGACCTTCTCTCTGTCTGTCTGTCTGTCTGTCTTTGCTATGATTGTTTATGACTTTGTTCTTCTTCTTAGCTGTGCAGAGTAGTAGCCTAGTGGTTGTTTGGTTGTTTGGGTGTTTGGTTGTTTGGGTGTTTGGTTGTTTGGGTGTTTGGTTGTTTGGGTGTTTGGTTGTTTGGGTGTTTGGTTGTTTGGGTGTTTGGTTGTTTGGGTGTTTGGTTGTTTGGGTGTTTGGTTGTTTGGGTGTTTGGTTGTTTGGGTGTTTGGTTGTTTGGGTGTTTGGTTGTTTGGGTGTTTGGTTGTTTGGGTGTTTGGTTGTTTGGGTGTTTGGTTGTTTGGGTGTTTGGTTGTTTGGTTGGTTGGTTGGCTGGTTGGCTGGCTGGCTGGATGGATGGATGGATGGATGGTCTTTGAACTACAGAGCTGGAAGTTACCCTGTGGATCATCTAGTCCAGCCCCTGTCAAGGAGGCCCGAGGGGAATCAAACTCCCAACCTCTGGCTCCGCAGCCAGAAATCTAAGCCACTGACAACCTTCGCTCTCATCAGAACTGGAGGGAAATTTGGCCCTTAGCTCCTGCCTGTAGGGGTCCTGTTGCATTCCCTGTGACCTTCCGCCTGCCTTCCCTCCCTCCCTCTCTGTCTCGCCAGGTGCCATTATGGCTGGAAAGGCCCCCTTTGTGACCAGTGCATCCTCTTCCCTGGTTGCGTCCACGGGAGCTGCACCGAGCCGTGGAAGTGTGACTGCGAGACCAACTGGGGTGGCCTCCTGTGCGACAAAGGTGAGGCCCTCTCCCGCGGGGGTGTGTGTGTGTGCGCACGGAGTAGAAGAGAGTGGTGGAAATGGGCTAGTCTAGATGTGTCCCAGGAGATGCTGCTGCTGCTGGATTTCTCACCCAAGCGCTGCGAGTTTTCTGTGGGTGGAGATATAGGTAGAAGGAGGATAAGCAGGGAGCCCACTCTGGGTTGAATCTGAAATTCACCAAACCAATCCAAGGGGCTGAACTTATTTGGAGGCTCACGTCCAGCACCTTTGGAGAAAGGTGCTGATAAAGTTTGGCTTAAAATGCAGAGCGGATATATATCCGGTCCAAGAATGGCATCTCCTGCCCAGCTGCTCCATTTTTCTGTCTGCTTACCATCGCTGGAACATTTGGATGGTCCTGCCAGGAGACTCACAGTAACTTTTCTTAAGTCTTAAGTGCACAGGTTAAGTGGAATGTTGTAGCACACCCTTGAGGAAGTGCAATGGCATTCCCATTGCAGCCCATTTGACCTTGCAAAGTCACCAATTCCCAGTGTCTAGGTTTGGAGCTGGTAACTGGGATAACCTTTGAGCGTCTCCGCCGCGAGTGTTGTGTGGCGTGGAGCCAACGGAGCTGAAGAGACGTGTTTGCTTTCTCTCTGCCCCAGATCTGAACTACTGTGGGTCACACCGTCCGTGCAAAAATGGAGGGACGTGTGCCAATAAGGAGCCCGACGAGTACGAATGCCTTTGCTTGGAGGGATTCCACGGCCGGAATTGTGAGAACGGTGAGCAGTGGGAGAAAATGGTGCCCAAACACCGCTCTAGGTCAGATCCTGCCGGAAATGCTTTGCTACACTCCAAACGATTCGCAGGGAGTTGAGGGAAGAGCTAGCGGGTGGGGTAGATCAGTGGTTAGAGTCGGACAGAGGTTCAGCTGGTAACAGCCCCCTGTTTTCCAACTCAACCTATCTCACGTGGCTGTTGTGAAGCTCTGACTAAGAGGAAGGACGAGACTGGAATCTGAAACGAAAATGTGGAAAGAAAATCTAGAACTGCAAGGGGATCCTGCCGTATGGCTTGAAAAATCATAGGCTGATGTACTGAGATGGCTGAAAAATCAGGAAGTCCTTACAATTAATCCATTCTGGAGCACTTCAGTAAACCTTTTCGGGTTCCCCGGGGAGCAAGGAAACCTCTCCCTTTTCTCCTTCCATCCGAACTGTTTTTCCAGCTGTGTGATGGGGGAGGCTGGAAATCAAGGGGCAGTCAGCATGTTCCAGGGCGTTGGAGGCAGACTGCCTGGGGTGGGTGGTGTTGGGGAAGGGAAATGACCCCCGTCTTCCTTCCGGGAGGGGGAAGGAAGGGTCATGGATGGAAGGGGTGGGTGGAAGGAGGGCAGGGTACCATCGGACAGTTTGAAGCCCAGGTTGGGGAGCAGGGCGGAGTGGTTAGAGGGGAAATCAGGGTGTGTTAGAACGATGGGGTCTCAAAGATGGGCACAAGAGGGTGGGGTGGGGGTCCTGGTAGTCCTCAAAAAGTAACTTTTCCAAACTCTTGGAAGATCTTTGAGAGAGAAGAGGTCTTCTCATTAAAACTGGGATTTGTGGATGCTGGGAGATAAACCAAGTGTTTATTTGAAAGGTGGTGGCCTTTTAGGCTTCCTTTTTAAAGCTTGGAAAAGTTTTCTTTTAAAATCCCTGTTCCTGGAATCGCCCAGTTATCAGGGCTGGGAGCTGTTGTTAAAACCGGTAAGATTTTTGTGGAAGGTGGGTTCTTTGATGCCAGCTGGTGAGTCACAGGGAGCGCGGGACGAGTGGATGGACCTTTTTGAGGTCCGGCAACATGCGGTGGCTTGACTTGACCAAGCTTCCTTGCCAACACTCTGCTTTTTTGCTGCCTCCCGATTCCAGCTCTCCTCCTGCTCCCGGTCAACGAGTCAACCTGCGCTCCCGAGGTTTGTGCCAACGGTGGGACATGTGTCCAAAGCCCATCCGGATCCCAGTGTCTTTGCCCCACAGGGTGGAGTGGAGAGTCCTGTCTGGAGGGTAAGAGGCTTCCAAATGAGGGGCACCGTGGGTGGGAAAGGTGCAATCCTTGATGTCCCTTGATCTTTGTTCTTGCAGTGGAATCCGGACCCTTTAAAGCCATGCCTAATCCCCACCCTCTGAGAGGTTAAGGGCTCCCTTGCGAAAGGATTCTTCTGACCGCTGTCTATGTTTTGCTACCCCCTAGGGGTGACCGCTTGCCTCTCGGAGCCCTGCAGCCATGGGGGAAGCTGCAGAGATGTCTCAGGTGGCTTCAAGTGCCTCTGCCCACCTCAGTGGACGGGGAAGACCTGCCAGATTGGTGAGGCTTTTCTTCTTCATTGCATGGCATTTGTGATCCTAAGCCAGTCTCTCCCCGCAGCCGCCTGGATCCTGTACCGTCAGGTTTGGGGAGCTTTCCTCCCTTACCACCAAACTTGACTTCTCCCTTCCCCAACAAGTGCCTTATTTCTTAACATCCTGATTCTTTGCCTCCAGAAGTTGGAATTTTTCTGCGCATTCCGTTACCTCCCGTTTTCGGCCAGGAAAGGGTTTTGTCACGGTCAGACGCAGAAGAGGTTAAACAGGGTTACTGATGGCCAAGCTGTTTTGAACTATAACACCTGCTAAGCCAGTAGGGCTGGTGGAGATGCTGTCTCGGAGCTGTATTTAAATATATATACATACACACACACCTTTTTCAGACTCTGCCAAGTAAATATGAACCTCCAAGTTCAGAGGGCATATATCTGTGGCTGGTGAAATGCTTAGGTGGAGAGGGTTGTGCCTTTTCATGCCTTGCTAGAGGGTCTCCCACAAGCCTTTTCTTAGCCACTTTTGGGAACAAGGTAATAGATTAGAAGGCTCCTGCGCGGGCAAGGCTGGCACTACCCTTAGGCAGACGGGCACGGCTGTGTCATGCAATGAATCTGGGGGGTTGTGAACAGCTGGCAAACTATTAAGCTATTTCATGGAGTCTTATGCTGCCGTACTGGTTTGGATTTTATGCACCTGGACTGGGATCATTCTGGGAAGGACAGCTTGCTGTGTTGCCTCAGGCAGCAGAAGGCCTTGGGTCAGCGCTAAGCAAGCTTCTTTTTCTTTCTTTCTTTTTTCTGTTTTTTAAAATGTTCTCCTTTCCAGATGTCAATGAGTGCCAAAGGAACCCCTGCCTCCACGCCCGGGGGTGCAAAAACCTCATCGGGAGCTATTTCTGCGACTGCCTAGAAGGCTGGATGGGGACCAACTGC